ACACACACACACACACACACACACACACACACACACACACACACACACGCACACACACACACACACACACACACACACCCGGTCTGTCCGTCTGCATGAACAATAGCAGCTATTGATCCAGACTGAGTTATATCATCGAAGCAGCAGCTCTTTGTTATCGCTTATTGTTCAGGTCAATCTCAGCTCTTTTAAATTCAGCCAGATTCAACCCACAAATAAAAGAATAATTAAAGTTTGACCTAAGATAAATCTAATTCAGTATTGATTAATATTAAATTTAACAGAACAGCATAAAATGATGTTTCTCAATCAGGCTGATGCCCAAGTGACACTTTAAAGGATCTGTAAATTCACAAATGGGAACAATGACGTCACGATTCTTAAAGCATGAATCCCACTAATCAAATCTCCTGGGGTGGGGGGTCTGCGGGGTCAAGGGTGTCGATGACTTAGCCTACTGGAGACACCCCAGGGAAATAAAACAAACAGGAGGAGGTGAAGAGGAGGTTAAAACTAATTGAATCTGGTATAATTCAGCTACGATGGATGAAAATAAGAGCTGGCACATTGAGATAGAAATGGAACATCTAACATCATCCAACCAACGTGATTCGATCGTTGTTCCATCACTCCGGCAGGCAGCATCACATTAGGGGGGGGTAAATATGGTCGATGACAAATATTGATGCAGCATTTATTAAATTACGTGGAGGATCGCAGAGCCGACACGTCTCCAAATGAAAGCATTACTCGCACCTTTATCTGGAATCTTTGCTGATAATATGAAAAAGGATGGGCTAGAATGGAGGGACATAAATATTATGTGGGATGATAATCAGATTATAACTGATTTATTCTGCTTTTGTCTTTTTCTGTTTGTCCTCATAAAGCCAACAAGACCTCCAACCATTATTTCTTTGGATATAAATATCTGTTGTACGTAGGCGAGCATAACATATTACTGTACACAACTCAGTTCCCTGTTTAGGTTAAAGAACGAAAACTGGTTCGGTTTAAGACTCGCAACTAAGCGGTTCATGTCAATACAAAGCAGTGATTCAAAGTTAAACATTTTTTCAGCCACTTTCAGCTGTTTTGTGCTTCTTTCAGATTGTTTTTGTTAACTACAACATCCTTCAAACTTATATCTGCTAATTTCAGCTTGTCATGCTCCTTTAATCTTATTTCTGCTAGTTTCAGTTATTTCAGCTACTATTTAGCTGTTTCTATGCTAAATTTAGCTTTTTCAAATAACTCCATATTTTTTGCACTGATTTAATATTTTTTCAGTCATTTCAGCAAAAATGTACTCTCCCCACTTCCTTCTGGTAAGTTAAGCTTCTTTCTGCATTTTTAGCTACTTTTCAGCTGTTTTTTTTTTTTGGTTAATTTCAGCTTTTTTATATATAATTTCAACTTTTCGTGCTCATTTCTGCTTCTTTCAGCCTAGTTGGACAAATGTGTTGTTCTTTCTTTCTTCTTTTAATTTAAACTTGTTTTACCTTGTTAGAAGGTTGTTGTTTTTATTGCTAATTTCAGCTGTTTTCAGGTAAATTCAAGTTTTTCTGTAATTTCTGCTACTTTCAGCTTCACTAATTTCTTTCTACTAATTTCAGCTTGCTATGCTCCTTTCAGCTTAGTTATGCTATTTTAGCTACTATTTAGCTGTTTTATGCTAATTTTAGTTGGGGTATTTTTTTCAGTTAATTCCATATTTTTGGAGTTAATTTCAGCTCTTTCTGCTAAGCTTCTTTCTGCTTTTCAACTAATTTACAGCCTTTTTTTGCTAATTTTGGCTTTTTTTTTTAGCTAATTTCCTCATTTTTGTGCTCATTTCTGCTTATTTAAACCTAATTCAGCATATATGTGCTCTATCTGCTTCTGCTAATTTATTTAGGCTTGTTCTTCCACTTCAGCCACATTTCAGCATGTTTTTTTTTTTAGCTAATTTCAACTGTTTCTCAGCAAGTTCTTCTGGAATAAGCATTCAAACAGCATTTTCATAGGAAATGCAATTTCTCTAGTAAAATTTGTAACACCTGCTGAACAAACAATTATGTTTGTGTAAGAGGGCAGCTACAGTGTTAGGTGTTCACAAAATAATATTTGCAAACAAAACAATGAGGATTGTGTTATTTACTGTATGTTTCTATTTTCTGTCTTGAATGAGATGTTGTTTGTGGGATGTATTCTCTGCTCAGTCAGCAACTCAACATAAACTTTCAATTTATAGATTTTTGATTATCAGCGTTAGACTCTCAAATCAAAAGGGTTTCAATCATCAAGTGACAAATGAGGCATGTAAACTATAAATAAACTGCAAAATTCTACAAAGGGAACAAAGACCTGATTGTCACCTTTTCCAACCACTTAACCCTGGATTAGCTTCAAACCCCAAAAAAGAAAACAGATTGGGTCAGACCCGGTGGTCTGGCCGAACAAGAGTTTATGAAAGCTGTGTTTTTCCATGTGATTCATTTAGCATAAAAGATCTTTTCATCAGCTGTGATGAACTTCTGAGAGTTCACTGGAATTAAAGTCCAACCACAAGATTGTCACAAGAAATCTCACCACAAGTAGTCTTCTTCAGACAAACTCGCACCCTGAAGGCATACCAAACCTTCTTCAGAGACCAAAGACAGGGAGCCAGCTTACATTCTTCCCATGCTCCCCCATGCTGTCAGCTTCCTGTTTGTTTACAAACCCTTATATTACAAAACTCTACTGCATGCTGTTCTCTTGCAACATTCTATGTAATTTAATAAACCTGGAAAAACATCCCAAGGATGTTGACAACAACTGCCTTAAACCAGACGTAGATGTTGGTCATGGAGCTGATACGGTTTTGTTTATTGTTTGGTTTCTCAGAAACGTATTCCTCTCAGATTCCACCGTTTTAGTAACTGTGCCCTGCAGTGACTCACTATCATCCAGAGCCTGAGAAAGCAGAGAAGGTACATTCCTCTCTATATCCTGAACTCTTGGCTGATATGGTAATTCATGAGGAATTCCCCAGTTCTGTCTCTCACAATATGATTCAGCAGCTAGAAGACTCAGATTAGACCCTCTGGCTGTTCAGAAGAACCAGACACGTACCACACAGAAGTCAGCATTCAGAAATGAAGTGAGCATCAGTGAAACCAAAAGAGGCATGGAGCAGAACTCAGCTGTGTTGACGTGAAGCATAACACGTTGAATATGTGCTGGACATCACGAAATAATTTGCTAAGAGACATTACGCACATAAACTAGTTGGTCAGGGAACCAGAAGGGGGCAGCAAATTTATAAGGGGGATGATGCTCCCGCTTGGTGGCGCCACTGCATTCAATGAGCTATCTACAACAGGTAAAATATTAATTACTAATTTCCAACAAACTCCACTTCGATAGATCTGAACTATTACATTCAGTTCTACACCCATCTTCACAAGTGGTATGTAAAACTGTTGGAGGGTCTCTTTAGTGTCAGCTGCTCCGAGTGATCTGGGCTGTATTTGTTGGGAAGTTGGGAGTTTTAGAGGGGGCAGTGTGTATGTGAATACACCTGCTGTCAGGAACAACAAAGAGGGTTTATTCTGGGAGTGGTGGGACAGCGGGGAGGGTCCAGTCTAATTACAGAGTCTGGGGAACCCAGACCCTCGGGTGTTTCTCTCCATCACCACACAGTGGGGATAAAACCCTAGATGGCTATGTTCAAGGTAAATATACTTATAAAAAATTAACTGGTGTCAATTGTAAAGGATCTGTGATTACAGTACTAAGAGTTTAACAGTTTCTTGTTTTTCTGTTTTTGTCTAAGCCATTCTTCCACTTCTGTAGTGCCTCTGTAATTGTTCAGTGCATTAGTCACTGAGAAGTTTTTTTTTTCCTTCTTTTTGTGGCATGAACATCCATTTTCCACCAACTTAAGAGCTTTAAAGATGGGATAGAGACATGCTCTCGTCTGGCACCACAGCGCTCATAAACAAATTACAAACCAGTGTATGCCATTTCGCTCATTCCCAGGACAATAAACTGCATTGAACAGCGGCCTAATGAGCCACAGAGCCTGAACATTTGTCCTATCTGCACTTCAGATCTCGTCATTAGCCAGTGTGAGCTCACAGATTGAATTCTTTTACATTTTCAGATTATAGTGAATGAAAAATGAGTTTAGAAATACTCTAGATTACAAAGGGATAACAAGGGAGGAAATACATCTCACTATAGCAATTAATGCAATCATTGCAGGTCCAAATTACAAAAAAAATAGCTTTATGTTTAGGGCTCAGACAGAGATAAACCATTGTTCCCATTAGACATCACTGCATCATCCAGCACACTCCCACTTAGGAGCTCTAACCACAGTGGTGCACTCAGCAGCAGCAAATGCATCCTAGAAACAACTTTGATCCTTCGCTGAGATTGTCCACAACCTTAAAAGCAATCAACAATTCCAGATGTTATAACTTAAAGAAGAGGAAAAAACTCCTATGCAACTAAAAGCAGATACATTTGAGATAGTCAATAAATCAGACGACTTCTGTACTTTAAAATGTGTTAGAGCGCCATCTAGTGTCCAAAAAGAGCAAATTTATTTGTCCTTAATGAACTTTAATATTGGATTACACTAAATTTAAATGTATTTTAGACCAGTTTTTAACACATACTGTGATTAATTCAATTCAGTTTATTTATATAGCGTCAGGTCACAACAGAAGTTGTCTCAGGGCAATGTACAAAAACATTCACACACATTAAAAAAGCCACTTAATACAAGTTATCTATTTAATAGATAGTGATGAATCTTCATTGCGTCGCAGTCTCTCATCCTGAGCAAGCACAAAGGCCACAGTGGAAAGGAAAAACTCCCTTTTAACAGGAAGAAACCTCCAGCAGAACCAGGCTCAGGATGAGCGACCATGTCCGGCTGGGTTTGAGAGGACAGGAAGGAGAAACAGACAAACATAGTACGACAGGTCCAGGTGTACTTTCTGTTGGAGGAAAGACAAAATATATATATATATGTTAAGGATATAAATAATTACAAACTCAAACAGGTAGAGCAAGTAAAGACAGCAGCAGAGTGAGGAAATCCCTGATCAGCTGATGTGCATTTGAACACTTGGTTTCAGTGTTGAGAAAGACACAAAAACAGGCACTAATAAAGCCAACTGTTCCTGAACTGGCTGCTTTGTTTATTTCACCTCTCCAAATAGAAAGGGAATTGTTCCCAGCCTACACAAAGCAGAGCATGACCCCAACAGAAAAGTTGTAAAAACATTTAATTATTTAGCGACTTCTCTGATATACACAGCCATACAGTTAGGGAAGAGCTTCATGCAGTGATCAGTAATTATGTATGTGTTGATATGCATAGATATGGCCGAGTCTGGTAGAGAAAAGCTGCTTGACTGTTTATTTGTTAACGTTTATTTATAGTATTTTACAAAAAATAAAAAAAAATAAAAAAAAATTAAAAAAAATGGACGTTTGGGCTATTTATGTAAAAAAATGTTGGTTTTTTTTTGTGGCATGATTTTTTTTTATGACGAATGAATTGAAAGTGCAAAAAATGACCAGGACAGGCTTGAAGGACAGTGAGTTTGACTTAACATAACGGGCTTTAGGACCCTGCAGGATCGACCTCTCGGAATCACATGATGAACCGAGCAGAACTTGTTTCCTCAGTAAAACGGACGCTCAAAAGGATCTAAAAGCATCATCCCTGCGACAGTACAACCTATTTCAAGTCAGGAATATGTGTGATTTAGGTCAAACTAACTAAAAGGCTAAAAGAGGCAGCAGACATGGCTACTGCTGCTTTCTTATTCCTCTCTGCTGTGTGTTTTGCCTTTTCCTCATCTCTCAGTGGAAATCTGGTAAGAAACAAAGTCCAGTCAGCTGATCATCTCTGCATCTTTACTTTTTCTTCTACAGGTTGAAGACGCAGCTTTAACATGTACAGTTTTATACAGAGGTTTCTACAACAATGAGTGATAAGCATTTCTCTCAAACAGCAGACATTCAGGTGTAACTAAATGCAAGCTAAGCTCCTGTTCTTTCTTTCTTGCAGGTTTCTGCAGCAAGATCATTCTCTATAGACTACAAGAACAACTACTTCCTGAAAGATGGGAAGCCTTTTCAGTACATCTCAGGAAGTATCCATTACTCCAGAATCCCTCGTTACTACTGGAAGGACCGCCTTGTGAAGATGTACATGACTGGACTCAATGCCATCCAAGTGTAAGCTGAACACACCCAGCTGCATGTGATAAATACACACCAATATAAACTTTTTAAATTGATCCATGGATCTTTCTGTAACGAAGCTTCTTTCGTTGACTTTTCACGTAAACAGGTATGTGCCTTGGAACTTCCATGAAGCAGCTCCTGGAGTCTACAACTTCACAGGAGACAGAGATTTAGAGTACTTTTTGAATTTGGCCAACCAGACGGGCCTTCTGGTGATCCTGCGTCCTGGACCGTACATCTGTGCAGAGTGGGAAATGGTGACAACTCTCATCATGTCACGGCACGACAAGTTGTATTGACTTAAATACTAACATCACAGTCTGACGGTGAACTGATGAGCACAATAAGGAATACTTTGTAGAAAAAAAAAATGCAATGGCTCAAATACTAATACCACGTGTTGAGTTAGAGAAAGTGTTGTGACCACTAAATGCACGATGACAGTGAGGTGTTTTTTTTTTTTCATCTTATAATTCTTAATTCACTTGTTGGATGTTCAGTATTTTGAACTTCAACAAAGTAGCAAACAGCTATTAAATAAAGGAAAACAGTACAGAAGTGGCACCCATGCTCTGATATTTGCTGCAGAAGCCAATGCAGAGCCACGTTTATTGGTGTATGAGATACCTGAGCAGAGGTTCCCGGGAACCTTTAAACATTTTCTACCAAATAAACTTACAACTAAAAATGCTATAGGATCGATATATTACTAGAATCCTATATGTGTTTCAATACTAAAACAATGCTTTATAAGATGTTTGAAGACCACTGAGTCAGGTTTCACTTTTTTTTTTTGTGTGTGTACTTTGCAACACGCTGCTCACTTGTGGTCTTAAATTAATAATTCATCTGTCAAACATTACGCCATCAAGTTAATTTTTAAATTAGAACATGACATAGGGCTTGGTTCTGCCCATGGCTGCTATGCAACAACAAATCTGGACCTCAGAAGCAATATTATAATCTCAACTAGAACCTACTTATAAACCGTATTTATCCTACCCAAAGTTCAGAGCATTGCTAAGTGTTTGTCACTTTTATTTGCTTAATTAAAACAAAAATGCGTACAAAACAATACAAACAGTCCAACATTTTTACAGTTTCATTACATTTAACAAGAATTCAAAAGATGATTAAATATTTACGATCAGACTAAGTATAGAAAATGTAGCAGATCAGGAAAAATAATTAACTATACCGATAGTGAACTTCCACATTTTGTAAGTAAATTGAAAACACGACACAGTTCTTATACAGTAGTTGCTTGTTGACTTCACATCATTATAGAAGACATACGAGCTGATGAGATAAAAGGACTTGACTCTGAAAAATCACAAACGTTGTCTTTGTTTGTTCCAGGGTGGATTACCAGCATGGTTACTTCAAAAACCAAACATCATACTTCGCTCCGCAGACACAGGTAGTTCCTGCACTCATGCTTCTTTCTTGATTCATGTGTATTTAATTTGCATTAATTTTAGTTCCTTCTCCTCCAGATTACCTGGAGGCAGTCAACAATTGGCTTGCTGTCCTCCTCCCTAAAATCAAACCTTGGCTCTATATCAATCGGGGTAACATCATCACCGTCCAGGTAAAAGACGGAGTGGTCGCCTATGATGGGTCAGACTATGATTACTGGTTTTAATGTGTTGCTCCAACTTCAGGTTGAGAATGAATATGGGAGCTACTACGCTTGTGACTATAACTACATGCGTCACCTGCAAACAATGTTTCGCTTCTTTCTGGGTGAGGACGTCGTCCTGTTCACCACTGATGGAAACACAGACAAGGAAATGACATGTGGGACGCTGGATGGATTATACGCCACAGTGGACTTTGGTGCAGGTTGGTCTTTTGTGACAATGTCTTAAGGATTTTTTTTCTTTGTACTAGTAGATAATTGGATTTTGTATTGCTCGTTTTCCTCAGACACCAACATATCTGATGCCTTCGAACGCCAGAGACGATTTGAACCCCACGGACCCCTGGTTCGTTGTACATCAATTCATCAGTCCTCTAAACCAGTGGTTCCCAACCCAGATCCTTGAGGAACACCATCCTGCATGTCAGAAGCCTGTTTCACCTATTTATTTTAATCAGATGTGTCAAAGCAGGGAAACACTAAAACATGCAGGATGGTGTTCCTCAAGGACCAGGGCTGGGAACCATTGCTTTAAACACATGTTGGTGGTAAATGTAACACAGTTTGAATGGTGTTGCAGGTAAACTCAGAGTTCTACACAGGCTGGTTGGACCACTGGGGAGATCAGCACACCATTGTTGATGCTCAGAAGGTCAGCAGAGTGCTAGGAGAAATGCTAACCATGGGGGCCAACGTCAACATGTATGTCTCGTTGAACCCTCAGGCTTCCACTCTTTCATCCTTTCTCTATGTATCTTGATTAGTCTGCAGCTAGTGTTGAGAATGCGATAACTTTATCAGTGCCCAGTCCCAGGATTATATATATTTTTTGTTTGTTTTAATAGACATTCCTTAAACAGTTTGAAAAAGTATAGCAAATAATGAAACAAGAGCAAATCAGCTTTTTATGGACCATTTTCAGTTACAGATTACAGGGATTTACATTTACAGGGATTTATTGCTTTATTACAAGGACATTATTTGCCTTATAAGGCCTTGGTGACATTAATGGTCAATGGGATCAATGTTGGCGTTTTAGTGTTTTGAAGGGCGCTATGAAAATGACAAAAAATAAAACACGATAAATATGCTGTGAATACTGTTTGTGGACAGAAAATGACTTTTTGTCTTTATTAACAAGCTTTCACTGAATTCATTTCATGTTCCCTTCTTCTCAGGTACATGTTTGAAGGAGGAACCAACTTTGGCTACTGGAATGGTAGATGCATTCCTTTACATTATAACTATTCCGTGTTGTTAAATACCTTAATTTAGATTGTTTTAAATCCAGTAGTGCAATGGTTTTCCATAATTCTTTCCTCTCGTAAAGGTGCGGATTATGACACTAGGTTTCGCTCAGTGGTAACTAGTTACGATTATGACGCTCCACTGACCGAGGCAGGAGACCCCACGGAGAAGTTGTTGGCCATCAGAGATGTTATAAAGCAGGTAGATCTGACTGAACTGAAGATGATGTCTTGATTAAGACTGGTAATTTATTGTACTTTCTAACTACCGGTAGTTTCGAGAGGTTCCCTCTGGACCCATGCCACCAGCAACTCCCAAATTTGCCTATGGCTTTGCCGTGCTGAAAAAGGTAGAATCATTTCAGAAAGTTGATAAGAAGCATGTTTTAAACATGTCTAACACCACTGAACCTTAACAGGTTGGAAACATTAGCAGCTTGTTGAACACAATATCTCCTCTGGGGCCAGTCCAATCGGAGTATCCGCTGACGTTTGAAGAGATGAAACAGGTATGGTGTCTGAGAGCGACAACAGAGAAGAGACTGGCATTATAGAAACAGTGAATCCCTTGAAACATTGAAAACTTCTAGGCTGTTTTGTCTGCAACCAGTCATGTCTATTGTGTTCAGTACTATGGATACATGCTGTATCGGACTACACTGCCCCAGGACCTCTCCGAGCCCACGCCACTTATATCTCCACTGAATGGGGTTCATGACCGTGCATATGTGTCTGTCAATGGGGTAAGGGCATTCTGTGAACTTTTTGTTTATCTAGCCATTCAGGTTTACAGGTCAGGGGAAAAACATAGGTTATTGTTCATAATCAATGCTAATAAATGTAAATGTCAACCAATAGGTTTTTCAAGGCCTGCTCCAAAGGGACACAAGGCTTGTGATGAATGTGACGGGACAGCAGGGGGACACTTTGGACATCCTGGTTGAAAACATGGGCAGAGTGAACTTTGGCAGCAAAATCAATGACTACAAGGCAAGGCAACATGCATTCAAGGCCTCAAGAACAAGACAAATTGTGTGAGACAACTAAAGTTCCTTCTATAGAGGGTGAAGCTTACATCAATTTTGGTGAATTTCAGGGTCTGTTAAGCAACTTGATTTTGGGTAAAGACATACTGACCAAATGGAAGATCTACCCTTTGGACATCGATGGAGCCATTTTTCAAGGATGGCCTCATTCGGACAATCGGAAGTCTATCTCCCAACAGAGGGAAGCTTCAGTTGGACCAGTGTTCTACATGGGGACCTTACAACCCAACGGCGTTGCATGGGACACCTTTCTCAGGCTCAGTGAATGGACAAAGGTACATCTTTCTTTATGTGGTTTAAACACATATTTCCAGGAAATAAATAAATCAACGCTGTACTATTTGTTTCTGATCAGGGTCAAGTGTGGATCAACGGGGTAAACTTGGGTCGGTACTGGCCAGCCAGGGGCCCTCAGCAGACTCTGTATATCCCTGGCCCTCTACTCAGTACCAGTCTGCCCAACAACATCACATTGCTGGAGCTGGAGGGGGCACCAGTACATCTGCGTGTTCTCTTCATGGACCGGCCTCAGCTCAACGCCACTATCGGAAAATCTTGACAGAGCTCAATGGTCATATAAGTTTGAAGGAGCTATTTAAAAAAAATGTTTTGACTGAAACAAAGTAGGTGCAAACCTATGCATGACTGGTCTGTTGCAAAAAAATTGCTCAGAGAACACCAAAGTTCTTGCTCATTAATCCAGGTATAAATCCAACAATACTAGGTCATCTGGACGGTTTCTTTTGTTGCCGAGACATTTCATCCTTCATTTGAAGGACTTCTTCAATTCAGTTCAGAGAACATTTTGTTGTACATCTTTTCTGTACTTCAGTGTTGGATATATTGTCAATCATCAGTTCCTTTAACTTTTTAGAAAACATTTACCAAAAATGATTTTCACAAGTTTTCTACTTTGGAAAAAATGCAAGGTTTATTAGTTTGTTTTATAGCATTACTTTCACACTTTGTTAGAAATATATTGCATTATTGTTTTATTACACTTTTCAGTGGTGGAAATTGTTCTACAACAACATACAGTTGTTGCAGAATTTGACAGAACTTAATTAGAAATATATTTCCCCCCCCCAACTTAAGTGCAAAACAAAGTTCCAAAGAGCAAAATGCTCAAATAGTTTTAATGAGGCAGCTTCCTGTTAATTAAAAGTTTTTCAAATGAATGTTAAGTCTTGCCCGGGGCAAGGTTTGCTTGTCGATGTGCTTGAACGCAACGTGGAGAGCAGAAAGAATACTCAAGGTAGTGAAATGGGATCTTTGCAAGCAGAGATTCCCCACACTGCCAACACCTCCTGTTGATAGGGTAAAGGTAAAAATTAAACCCAATTCAAGCACAGCTTTTTAATATTTAATCATTAACATTTTGGTTAATTAAATAATTAAGATAAAGCTGAATAAAGCAATTTGCTTTGAACTTACTTGACATAAGAGGCGCCAACTCCTGCTGCAGCTACTTGCTCTGCCAACCTCCTCTCTGCTGCCAAAGCTCTCTTTAATCAAGAGGATATAATTAACATACACAAAGGAGTTGCATAAAAATCATAAACACACATTTACCTACCTTTTCCCGGTCTGTCAGAGATGCAAACTTCCTCTTTTCTTCTTCTTCCAACTCCTGCTTCCTCTTTTCCTCCTTCTGTTCTTTATCTCTCTGTCTTTTTTGAGCCCTTTGGGCCTTTTTCTTCTCAGCCTTTTTGAATTCAGACTCTGCCGTTAGCGGCCCGGGGATCTGGTGGCACACAGTGCTAAACCGTAAGCTTTCTGCTTCCAACGTGAGAAATCACAAACATCACACAGTTTAATCTCACCTGTGCCTTGCTGTAGTTGTACTTTTCGGGATTCTCACCCATGTATTTACGAAAGACGCTCCTTGTGTCTTTGTCGGGAGTGACAATATACGGTGTCTGGCCTTTGTTATCCCTGTAAAGAGATGATGAAAATTGAAAACCTGCAAATATGAACTATTTTTTTATTATTGTGTGACAATAAACTTCCTGATACCTGCAGGCAGGATCTGCTCCTGCATCAAGGAGCAGCCAGACCACAGCCTTTTGTGCAGCTGCTGCAGCAACGTGCAGCAAAGTGAACCCTGATGAGTCTATAGGCTTATTAAGGAGACTCAAAGGACTTGGAAACGTAGAAGGATTGCTTTCCATCTTTTCACAATTCTCTTCTACCTCCTGAGGTAGCTGAAGAAGACTACAGAGAGAACCTACATCTCCAATTTTGCATGCTGTAAACAGCGCATCCCTCAAGCCATATTCGCTCGAGTCAACATCTAGAGACAGAAAGCTTAATGAGTGTCATGTAATTGAGTAAACTTTGCAATAAAGTTTGGGTGATTTACCAGAAACAATCTGTTCTCACCATCTTCTTGTTTTTTACTCTGTGCTTTCCTCTTGTTCTTTTTCAAAGTCTGCATCTGTTGAGCGTCGTCTTCTGCTGGCGTTGCTTCTGGAACTGCTTCTTGTTGATCATATGCTTCATCATTACTCTTTTCTGCACCACATGGTTATGCAAAATTAATTGTGTTGCAAAATATTAAAAAGATATCCACATTATGTTACACTGATCTAAACCTACCATCATTTTGTTGTTTGGCTGCCTCCTTCTTTCTCTGCCTCCTTTTCTTGCGCCTGGGGGGATAAATTTCAGACTCCCTGAGGTCAAGGGTTCCTAAAGTGAGCTCCACCATCTCCAGCTGGATCTCCCCTCCCTCTTCTTCTGAGCTTTCCTGCTTTTCTTCGGTTGGCGCCAGCAATAACTCTGCATCAAAATTTTGAATCTTGAATATTTTAAGTACAATATATGACAGAAATTTGCAGTATACCGTATTTTCTGCCGTACCCGTTGCACCACCCTATAAGTCGCATCAGTCCAAATATGTGTACAAAAGTACAAAAATCCATAAATACGTCGCATCTATTATGTGTCACCGCTGACAACCTGGAAATGTGGGACGGTGTTGTGCCAAAAATCGATGGGCTGCCAAATGGCGGCCGTGGGAGCGTGCACAGGAGGACTTTCACAAGAATTTAACAAGATTAGCACTTCAAAACAATTATTTGTTTGCCCAAAATTATAGTAAAGGTGTGTCTCAGTCTAACGTTTGCTTAATAAAAGGACTTTAATGGTCATATCAGTTGTATTTGTTGCCTCGTGCTCCAGGAGCGCGCAGAGGGAGGAAAAAAATATATGGAGGAATGCTGTTCGTTTCTTCAAAATTTAACAAGAAAAGCACCTAAAACAATTGTTTGTTTGCTCGAAATTATAGCAAAGGTGCGTCTCAGTTGAACTTTTATTAATAAATGCACTTTAATGGTCAAATTAGCTGCATTTCGCCAGGGCGGTGCAGCTGGTTTGACTTGCTCCAAGCAGCGAGCAGAACGAACTACGGCAAGCCGATTGTGTCATTAATAGCTGGTGAAGATTTTCAGTCATCCAGGATGTGGTAAATTCAAAAAGTTCAAGATAAAAACAATAAAGTATAAAGTAAAATATAAACAATAAAGGCCAGTTGTTTTTTGTCTTGAACTTTTTTGAATTTGTCTTTATAGCCACATTTACCTATTACAAGATACAACGGCATGCCTTACAGCTACTACTCTGCTGCCATCTAGTGGCTGAAAATGGTAGTGTTCAATATTTTCAGTCAGAATGAATGAAAACGGTCCTATCTAAGCCAAACATTGGTTTATAAATATGGGAAAAATCCATAAATCTGTCACTTCGGCCTATAAGTCGCAGGGCATGCAAATTATGCAACAAAAAACACAACTTATAGGCTGAAAAATACGGTAGATATCAACACCCTAAAACATACCTTCCTCCTGATCTGTGATCTTTTGTGCTGCAGGTTTGATGTTTTTCAACGTCTTCTTACATGGACTAAACACTGCAGACATGTCTGCGTCTTTCCCTGCAGTGTGACAGTTCTGATTATTCAACACCTTTCCTGTAACAAACTGTTCATCTAAATATGTCATTGCGCTTACCATACACGTGAACCGTAGAAAGGAACTCATGCACCCGCTGTACCTCTCGAAATGTGGCTCTGCGTGTAGCGAAAGGAATGGAACGGATTCGGGGATCTTTTTTTTCAAGGGGTGCTCCGCGGCCACCAATAAAGATGGTCTTGTTGTAGCTAGGCGCTCGCACAAATATTGCGGAGGCTTTGTTCAAGTGTTCAGCCCAGGTTAGCAGAAGATCTTGAATGTCCTGCAAAAAACGGAACCTTTTGAAAATGATGCACGAAAAAATAACCTCAAACTGACCTGCTGTGCTCAGAACCTGCTCAAGTCTTATTCATCCAATTCTTTATATGGTCACCAAATCAGCCACAGTCTAAAATAACCCACATGCGTACAATTTAATTTATTTTAATTGGCCAGCTTTTGGCAGCCTGCAACTGGACATGGGTGTGAGTTGTACTGTACTATTTCCTACGTATGCTTTATCAAAAGCAGCACAATGATAAAATGTGTTAAGTTTCAAACTGGGAAGTTCAAAAAGCCTTTTTCTACACCAATGGCACAAATACTCACCGACAGAGAAATCTACAGCTTTTTAGACAAGTCAGACTGTCGAGTGATCATGGCTTTGACAGTCAGAATACAAAAGTGTTGGAGGAAGTTAAATAGACTAATCTTGCCTTGACGAGAGCTGCCTCGTTGTACCGCCTCAGAGCTGCTCCTGCAGACTTTGGTGCGTGACTGCGGTTCTGGGAATCTCTGAGTCCCTGAGCCGTGCCTCTCTTTGCTCGCACAGTGTATCGGTGAAAGGTCTTGTGAAGGACTACTTGTTTTCTGAAACACAGACACTTGACGTGATGCACTGTGTTTACATGCCTTTTGTGCTTTAGATTCCAGCCATTTACAGTATACTCTTAAAAACAAACTGAAACAAGTAGAAAAACACCAAACTTACCCTTCAAACACAGCACCAGCAAAGTGGCCTCCTCCTGTCATGAGAATGACCCACAGAGTCTTTTGGTTTATGGACTTCAAGGAAGAAACTGGATCAAATGCTTCATCTGACTGAAATAGAAAATTAAGATAAAAGCTATTTATGATTATTTAAAAAAAATGGCAGGATATAACCTGAAAGGTACCGTTCCTAATTAGTCTCACCTTTCTGAACAGCACGCTTCGATAGACCGACAGATACTCTCCTGCAGAGTTCTGAAAAAACACTTTAGTGGAAAGTCGACCAGTAATTAAATTAGATTCAACTGAGCTCTCATTATCTGTGCCGGAGACATTGCACCCCATTGTGCCGCTATCGCTATCCAAGTCCTCTTGTTCTGAATCGGACTCTGAGCCTGAGATACTGGACAGGTCTCCTGTGAAGTGACAAAATACATTTTTGCATTTCTCTTTTCCTTTCTTCAAAGTCCATGCTAAATAAATAGGTAGTCCTATTATTTTGTTACCTGCTCCCGTTTTCTTCTCAAACTCTTCTGCTGTGAGAGGCGTTAATCCTGCCATCTTTTGTCTTAGGTTGAACCGATGCCAGTCGAGCTTGTAGTGCTCCCTCTACAACACAGCATCTGTTAGCTGGTGTTCAACTCATTTAACACTTATTCCAGTGAATAAATGAGTGCTGGGTTTAATTTGTGCTCACCTGTTCCTCACGATTATTAAAGGAACATTTACAGGCAGAGCAGACCAGTTTATCTGACACCTCTCTGAGCAAATGGGCTTCTCTCCTCTGATCATGATCTGAACTTTTGTCTTCCACATCTGTGTCAACAATATGAACATTATTGTGATTAGTATTACATCTGAGTGACTAAAGTTGGAGTTATCTAACAACGTTAAGTCAGGTCCTCTGGACGGATTCAAAAGCAAAAATAAAAAAAAGTTGAAACATTTCATCTTTTATCCAAAAGACTGTCAGTCTGAGGAGCTGTAATAAACTCAGGCTTATAAATAGCACCTTCTCATAGTGGATCAACCAGTTTGTTGTTGACATCCAGAACTACTTGTTCACATGATAAAACCTATGATACCCACGATCAGCCTAATAATTGATCATTAGTGCCCTGATGGCTGTTTGCTATTCACAGGGGGCTGAGTGATACTAGCAATAACAGCATTATTAGTTGAACCCGGAGGCCTCCACTCCTGTTTAATGATGGACGATTTCTTTTCACAAAGATGGCCTCCTTTACTCCTCTCTCAAACCATCGTTCCTCTCTGTCCAGGATGTGAACATCTTCATCCCTGAAAGAGTGACCGCTGGCCTGGAGATGAGTGTAGACCGCAGAGTCCTGGCCTGATGATGTTGATCTTCTGTGCTGGGCCATCCTTTTGGCCAGTGGCTGTTTAGTTTCCCCGATGTAAGACTGATCACAGCCCTCCTGACACTGAACAGCATACACAACATTACTCTGTTTGTGTCGGGGGACTGGATCTTTGGGATGAACCAGTCTTTGCCGTAATGTATTTTGGGGTTTAAAAGCTAATAGGACATTATGTTTAAAAAAAAAAAGTCTCAGTTTCTCTGAAACTCCTGCAACATACGGAATGACCACTGGTCTGGGTTCCTCCTTTTCACCTGATGGCTGACTGGAGTCCTGTTTGGGTTTCTTCTCTGCTTTCAGGAAGGCCCAGTTAGGATATCCACATTGCTCTAGAGCCTGTCTTGTGTGGGATTTCTCCTTCTGCCTGGCTCCTGAGCTTGTGGGGACGCTGTCTGCTCTGTGGTACAGAGTCCTGATGACTCGTAACTTGTGCTCCACAGGGTGATGGGAGTCAAACTGCAAATACTGGTTTGTAGAGGTCAGCGACAAACTGGTTGATCCAACAAATTGGTTTGAGAAGGTGCTATTCACAAGACTGAGCTTATTGGAGCCCCTCAGAGTGAAGAAGTATTTTGGTTAAAAGACAAAACGTTTCAACATGTTTTTATTTATTGAATCTGTCCAGAGGACCTGACTTAACTTTGTTAGATTTTTCTACCTGGATTATTGAGCATAAAGTTGGAGTTCATACACTCTGCAGCTGAGTCAGCGTTTAAAGCCTCCTTCAGGACAGGGTTCACCTCTCTCAGCTCCAAAGCCTCTTCTTTTGAGAACAAATCAAAAACGGACCGGAAGTTGGCGCAAGTTGTCATCGTCCCGTTTGTCTGTCCAGAGAATATAGAAACGGGACGTACAAGTCATGAATCACCTTTGAACTCATCTAAATTATTATGTACAATGTTCAGCTCCTGCGTCGAATAAGTTAAATAAAACTAAATCACTCTTATGTTTGCGTAAAACATGAAATAGACACGCTACAAGCTTAAAATAAAATGTAAAGCGTGTGTTTACAGGCTTAGGCTAATGTTCTCATTTTAGAGGCACGTGTTGTAGGAAAACGGTGACGTTTCTTTACAAAAACGCGTACATTTCTTCGTAGTTTTAGCTATTTAAAAAGAGCACTAGTGCTAATATAAGTTACAATTAATGGACTTAAACATTACAAGTTACTCACCATAAAACGACGTCTAAAAATGAGGTGGACAGAAATGACTGTTTCCTCCTAACGACTACGGAAGCCCGGCAGTGCCAGTAATGCTCAAACGACTGCCCGTCTACAGACCAAGGGTTGTAAACCTGACACTTTATTCTCACTTTAAAATCATTTAAGACGCAATACAAAAAATTTATATGTAAAATATCGACGTGAAAGAAGATGTACACGTCTATGGTGTAAAGTAAGATCATAATAAGTCTCAAAATATTTTTCTGGCAAGCGAAAACTTAAAATCATTCACCGTCATAATGGATATTATACATCTTTCATCTCCTTCACATTTACTTTAAACAGATTGAAAATATATTTTTTTTCATTGATTTTGTTCATTTCAATACATGTGATGACCTAATAAAGCAAAATCCTATTTAAACAGAGCACAAAATGTAAAGAAATGTGTATTTTGTTAGTTATTTGTTTGTTGTATGCTTCTTGGCAGTAAATCGTATACTAATGAAAAGCCAGTTGATTTCCCTTCAAATGGTGAAAAAATTATTTTTAAAAATGCATATGTGGGTTACACCCATGAAAAAAATGGCCAGTTGTCTCTTCCGATTGCCAATAAAGTATTCTTCTTTTCCTTAATGGTTGATCACAAACAGCTGAGAGGTGCGACACGTGAAGTTGAGGAGACAGGTCGAGCAGCGGTGTCTCAGAGAGAAGTTTGTCTTGCGTTTGTTTTTGGTTTTTGGCCAAGGTGACGAACAAAGAAGGCGGTAGGTGGATCGCATAAGCTGTACATTGAATGTAACAACATGGCTTCTGCATCAGAGGGGCATAGTGGCAACGAAATGGAATGGATAATGTCAAGATCAGCGAGAACAAAAAGGACGCTTAAGATGAGGCAAGAAAGGGAAAGAAGTCGGTCGGCAGAAAGTGAAACTA